GCCCTCTACCATTTTGCAAATAATCACATAGATTTTTAATTATTAATTAAAAAAGATTATTGCACGATTCTGCGTGATAATGCACTCATCTTCTTTAATTAGATTATAATACAAAAATACGATAGATTGGGCACCAGGTATGGTAATATCACACCTCCTCACCAAAGGGTCGCCAAGAAAATAATCTTCCCCAGTCGTTGCGAGTCGGAACTCTACGGGACCGGTAGCTCTCGGTACTTACAGTCGAAGATAGGGATGGGTTCAGGGCAATGTCGGCGGGTGGAAATTGATACACACAGTCGGTACAATAGTTTTTATTCGAGAACCAAAAAAAAAAACGTTACTATCGAGAATCGGTACTAAGAGCGGCACGGCCTACTCGCTCCTAGTTCTCGTCCTCGCTCCTAGTTCCCGGTGTTGGCGCGGTGGCGACGGATTGGTCAAATGGTATCCGGGATTCGGGGACGCTCTATACTCGACACGGACACGAAGGCGATATCAACGATGACACAATGCAACGGGAACGGACAGATGGAAGGCCTTACAATTATCGGGAGCTTTCCCCTGGGCCTCGGATCCTCCAGATGACGTCCTCCGGCTCCAGTTGTCGCACTGGTTCTCCTCCGCTCTCGTCCGCCCTTCGTTGTCGCCTGTATGAAGTTAGCCCCCCACTTTTCGAATTTATTAATTTTGACAGTTGTGCTGATTTGTGCTAGGTTTGTGCTACATTGTGCTCGAATTATAAATTTTTAATACGAAAAATGAGCGAAAAAAAAATGGAAAAAACCGTTTTTTTTGGTAGCCCCCCTCTTTTTGATTTTCGAAATTTTTTTTATTGTGCTAGATTGTGCTAAGTTGTGCTAGCATTGTGCTAAAGTATTATCTTCGAAAAATAATCATGAAAGGAATAAAACGAAAAAAACGATTTTAGGCAGAAAAGAAGAAAAATAAGATTTATACTCGTATAAGTCAATCAAACGATATATAATTATATATCTGAGTTGCTCTAGGCTAGCACAAGTCAGCACAAGCTTCAGTTTCGCGAACACTAGAATCTAAAGGGCACTTTACTCTTGACCGCGGCCCTTCGCGCTCGCAGTCTATGTCATTAATCACGACTTCTAGATTTTAGATCGACTCAGAATTGCATATCTGAGTTGTGCTAGTACAAGTCAGCACAAGCTTTAGTTTCGCCAGCATAAAAATATTAAAGGTATCTTATTCTTGATTTTCGCAACCTTTCGCACGCGCAACTTGATTGATCAGGATAATATTAAATTAAACGGAAGTAAAGAAAATATCTCTCTTTGTTGTGCATTTGTTTTCTGCACGTATGCCGTTCCACCTGGTCAAGGTGGAGATTATCGAAACGTTTTTTTTTGTATTTTTTGTTTTTTGTATTTTTTTGTTTTTTTATCTTTTTTATATGTTTTTGTTATTTTTTGTTTTTTTTTCTTGTATTCTAAAATTTTTCGTTTTCGTTTTAATATTTTTTATTTTATATTGCTGTAAAATCATCTGCTTTATGTTAAAATTACTTTAGATTATTGAGTTGGCGAAACTGAAACTTGTGCTGACTTGTGCTAGGCTAGCACAACTCAGATATGCAATTCTGAGTCGATCCAAAGT